GTTAGGGTTAGGGTTAGGTTTAGGGTTAGGTTTAGGGTTAGGTTTAGGGTTAGGCTTAGGGTACTAAGTGCTTGGGAATGCACGATTTTGCCCTCCGCGATTATGTCATCGCGGTAGGGTCGCGTTTTTCCTCAGCGCTTAGAACGGCACAAATTAGTCTTCGCGCTTATGTCTCCGCGCAGAAGGGCTTCGCGGATTTGTGGTGGAACCTTGCACCATACTAGACAATTTTTGTCCAATGTCCAACTTGCTTTTTGGGGGGAAAGTTGTAGAGACGATGATCGTTCAATAGCTTCACCAGATCCTGAATGAAATGAATTATCTGGACCTCATGCCTGGACATGGCATAAGAATGTCAATGGTCATGCTTTTGGAAGATCTATGGCATCAGCAGGATGCAGGGTAGTGGATCTATCTTGGCTCTCTACAAGGTCTCTCAGTGATTTTCAGTACCATCAACCGTATCATTTTGGATCAAGTCCAGGGATTGGAATTGAGTGGCACAATACTGGAAGATTCTCTTCTTTCCTTAAGGCCAATACCAGTCAATGTTCACTGGGCTTAATGATGATTATTTGATGACAAAACAATTGCTCTGTGGGTATGTGCATTATACATAAAACCAATGCACTTCTATCAGATGAAAACTACAGTGTTCTAATATCTTTTTACTTTTCCATCAATATTTGTTCATTTCTGGGGACTCTATTAAAGTGGACTCTTCAGTAAGGAAGGACACTTGGATGTTATGATAGCTACTGTGTTATTTGAAAAATATCATTTAAAAATCTCACAAAGGAGCAACTTAGCATGAATATTTTCTCTCAGAAGCAACCATACTGCCAACATTTATTCATCTTAAATTCTGGTTAGCTGCAAGAAAAGGAGGAGGTCATCCTATATTTCCATGACATTTAATGCTTACAGCATCTTTTAGCGTTACCACAGATGTAAGCGTATCACTTATAAAATGCAGCCATCTAAATTAGCTAGCAGAACATTGCTGCCATGATATCTCTTTCCCATCTGCGATTGCTACAATGAAGACGTTTCATTTTGTCTTCGGGACAATTTTAATTCACGGCAGGCAGTTTCGTTTACTTTTATTTCGCAACTCAAGTTTATGGCTTTCAAGAAGGCGATGTGACTTCTAAGAAGACGGAGAACATAGAAGAAACGGGCATCATTTCGGGAAATCGCCGTCATTGACACGCACCGTTCTACCCACCGCGCTATCCCTCAAAGCCTTCAGGCCTGTAAGACGCGTGTTCCAAGAGAGAAGCGTGCAGACGTTTCACGCTTTCATAAACTCTATAAGCGGGGGAGAGTCGCCAAGCTCTGCCGAAGGGTCGAATCAAAGAGGCGTTGTAAAACTTAAAGGCGGGCCGGGACGCTACGGCAGTGTTTTTCAACCTTGGCGACTTTTAAGTCCTGTGGACTTCAACTCCCAGAATCCCCCAGCCAGCATAGCTGGCTGGGGGGATTCTGGGAGTTGAAGTCCACAGGACTTAAAAGTCGCCAAGGTTGAGAAACACTGCGCTACGGAACCGAGCCCGAAGGGCGCTTTTCCCCGCCAAATATAAAGCGGGCTGAAGTCTCCACTCCCCCGCGACTCCCTCCGGGCCCGTCTTCTCCAAGCCGCGGAGATGAGAGCGGGCGGGACGCGCGCCAGAGACGGTCGCTCCAAGGGCCGCGCCAGGCGCCTCCCATAAGCAGCGAGGCGGGTGGTGGAGGGCGCCTGCCGGAGAGCGCGCTTCAGCCGGGAGGGGATACGCCTCCTTTCCCCGGACTCTTCACCGCCGGCGATGTTCACCAGGGCGGTGAGCAGACTCAGCAGAAAGCGGCCTCCGTCAGGTATGGCCCGGGGTAGCGAGAGAGGTGTGGTGATGGGTGAGAAAGAAAACGCGCGAGTCCTAGTCTGTTTGCTAGTTTTCTTGCAAGCGGAGCGGTTCGGACCAGGGTGGCTTTGCAGTTTGCAAACTGGCTTTTTTCGGTGCCTCCCGGGCTTGGCTCGCCGTCTGTTAAAATTTGATTTTTTTTTTGGTTCATTATTGCTATTTTTCTGCATCTATAAGCGCAAGTATTCGATTTATGATTGCTAGGTTTTTTTTTTAATCCCGCTTTTTTTCTCTCTCTCTCTCCCCGAAGTCAGCAAACGCAAGGGGAAGTCTTGCAGCCGAAAGAGGAAGGTTGCCATTTGGCAGACTGGTATTTTCAGACAGATCGGCACGAACGAGTCAGAAAGGAAAAAAAAAAAGGAAGAGGGAAAGAGACAGGCACGCATTTCGGAGCTGAGAGCTCCGTCCGGTCTTGCATAGTTAAAAGATACCGAGGTGGTTTGCAAGAAATGCAAGATAGAAATGAGACACTGCCCTTTTCTTTGGGAATCCATCAGGTTGGATTGCTCCTGCAGACAGGAGGGGGGGGGGATTCCCCATTAATGTTGCATTTCTCTGAATAGTCAGCACGAATCAGAAAGGTAATATAAAATAGCACAGCAGAGAGCAGATGCTGGCTCCTATTGAGCCAACTTCAGTTCACTTTTATTTTGGTTCAAATCCTGGCGTTTTTATGGAAATCAGTTTTTTTGGAGTATGAAAATATTTAGAGATGAAGGAATTACTGCAAGAACGATGGAATCATGTTCCACATTTCCTATACAGAATAAATTCCCCATTAATGTTGCATTTCTCTGAATAGTCAGCACGAATCAGAAAGGTAATACAAAATAGCACAGCAGAGAGCAGATGCTGTCTCCCGTTGAGCCAACTTCAGTTCACTTTTATTTTGGTTCAAATCCTGGCGTTTTTATGGAAATCAGTTTTGCAGTATGAAAATATTTAGAGATGAAGGAATTACTTGCAGGAACGATGGAATCATGTTCCACATTTCCTATACAGAATAGTACTGTGTCCTACATGGAAAATAATATGTTTTATGTCTCAAAGTGAAAAGTCCAGCCAGTCACAAGATTGGGTCATCAGGATTCTGTTGAACTTTGTAAAAGTTTTGCTTTGAAACAATGAACCTTTAACAATGATACTGGATATTGGAAGTTAGATTCAGTATTTACTGAGTATCTGCTCAGCTTGGTTTTCAGATTTTTGTTTATAAATTACTGGATTTTTCATGCACGTGGTGGAAATGATTAGAGCTTTGATTTTAGCATGATGTTCTAGGATCCCTGAATATGATCCCTGAATATGATCACTGTAATCCTGGCTGGGAAGCAGTTACTTGGAAAGTATTTATATACAGTATTAGCAATATATATTTATTAATCTCAATTTTAAGCTAAAGTTTAAGCTAATCAGGTTAAACTTTGTTTGCTATGCTTTGGATGAGAGCAACAGGAAATCTCTGGGCTATAGTTTGGACTGCAAATAAATAAAAAGCTTCCTAAAAGAAGACAACATCAAGCTACTTCTGTATTGCTGCCGAACATTACCTATGACCCTAAATTATAGCCAGAAATAACTTAATTTCATAGAGACTTTCGCCTCTGAAAAGTTATCCCCATTATTGAACTGTGGGTAGTATGCAGGACATTTTTTCATTTTTGTCTGTTGAGCATATATCAGGGCAGGTGAACTTAACTCCATTCTTACTTGGATTTTCAGAAAACTTTTCTGAGTTATGAAGATGGATATTACTTCTACGATTTTTTTCCTCTAGTCTTGGTGATTTATTCTGCAGCCTCTCCTTATTTCAAATACTTCTGGTTGCGGTTCTCTGAATCTTTTTCAACTTACTAGAATTTTTAAGTCCAGATTGGTTTTCCTGTTCTCAAATACCAACCTTAGATACAAAACTTTTTTTTTGGAAATAATTTAGATCACATAATTTACCCATAAATATTAAGTGATCTGACAAATTACATAGTTTAGTTTAGTCAAGTTAAATTCTAGCAATGCAGGAGCTTGTAAGTAACACTTGGGCTGCTAGAGCTGAAAGGTGTTGAAGATGAATTATAGTGCATCAGTATTGCTTGGTGAAAGAACCATGTAATATTAACCTGGTTTATTTCTTGTAAAACAAAGGCTTCACACCTGATAGTGTTTCCTGTCTACTGTGCACATATATAACATCTAAATTTCTGTACATTTTTGTTTAAAAGTTAAACCCTATGATTCCAAAGAAAATGTTTGGATTAGTAATTTCAGCAAATCTACAGATTTAAAACAAAAGTTATGGAAACGTGTATTTTAGAAACACCTACAGGTAGACATCAACTTATGACCAGTTGCCTAACAACCATTCAAAATAACCACACCTCATAAAGCATTTTTGGTTGTCCTAAAATGTGCTAATCCCCTATATCGGATGACTGTTATTTGATAGTTCGGCTAAAGGCTCACCTTTATGAAAGATTCTGATATCCTGTGGTCACATGATCACAATTGCAGTATTTTTGCAGTTTCCGGTATTTTTTTGTCATTTAGAAGAGTGTGTTTGCCCTTATGACTACCACGTTCTTTCAACCACACAGTAGATTTGCTTAAAAATGCCCCCCCTCCCCCAAATTATAAAATTGGGTCCATGTGGTTGCCTTTATTTAACAACCAGAATGACTTACGACCAGAAATCCAATCCCAATTGTGGTCATAAGTCCAGAGTGTCTGTACTACTTTAAAAAATTGTGTGTGAAACCTGACCATGGAAAGTAAAGTTTCTTTGTTTCTTGGCCATGGAAGTATTTTCATCTTGGATTGTTTCTTTCAAGCTTCAGTTTATTTCAAGCAATGAAATGTGTTTCTATGATTGTAAAATGATGTTATGTAAAAGAAATTTGTTTTGGAGAAATATGTATCATGTGTTGGTATAATGTTATAACTTTTTTGCAAATTGCAGATATAGTTGTGAATAGAGAGCGAAATAATGTGCAAGTTATATTAGCAGTGATGTAATAAAGGTTGTAACTAGTCTATTGTATAACTTAAATAAAGTAAATATCCTATTTAAGCAACAGAAGCAACGGGAAAACGCTGTTTGCGTTAATTGAGTAGGATCTATATTTCATTTCCACTGAAAGCAGTGGGACAAATTCATCTGATTAGGGATGCAACAAGTGGTGTTTACTAGTTGTCTATTTGTTTGCTTGTTAATTGATGTTGCAGAGGAAAAAATGAGAGAAGATAGGCTAAAACTGCTTCCAGATGAGGTTTTTATTGTATAATTATCCTGTCTTAAACATAGGATTTAATAGGAAGCTCAGATGGCTTTTTCCATTTGGAACTCGTCCATGTTTTTGCATTGCTTCTTTTATTTCTTACCACAAAATTGGTGGGGAGGAGGAGAAAAGATAGGCAAAATAACTGCAGAGCGCCTTTCAATTAACAGAGAAGCAACTAAAAGGGCCAAGGTGGCGCAGTGGTTAAATGCAGCACTGCAGGCTACTGCTAGATCAGCAGGTTAGCGGTTCAAATCTCACCGGCTCAGGGTTGACTCAGCCTTCCATCCTTCCGAGGTGGGTAAAATGAGGACCCAGATTGTTGGGGGCAATATGCTGACTCTGTAAACCGCTTAGAGAGGCCTGAAAGGCCTATGAAGCGGTATATAAGTCTAACTGCTATTGCTAAAATGTACCTTAAATATGTAAATAGCTCGCCAAGTTGAAAGCTCTGGGATTTTTACCCAGGATTCTTAAAGTTTTAAATTCAGATGTATCTAGAAATAACCATAATTCACTGAACAAGGATTGTTATTGTATTATATTAATTCTTCGGACTTTACTCTGATTATGAGATACGAAGAATCTGGCTTAATAAAGCAGCAGAGGAATCTAATTGATTAATTTATAATATATATAAATTATATATATTATATATAATAATCTATAATATAATAGATTCTCTCCCCTTCCCCACCAAAATTATATTAGCGCCATCCTTTTTGACATTCTCAAAAGCCTTCAAGATCTGGTTGTCCATCTTGAATACATATCAGAAAAAGAAAGCTTGAGAGTTTACAAGGTTTATACTATATGGAACAAAACTGTGACAGAATCTGATCTGCTTTGGATACCACCAAGATTCCTCCCAGAAGGTAACAAGGAAAACTGGTCGTAAAGCCCAAATACAAACCAAACATTTGTCATTTTAGTAAAAACAAGCTAATGTACATCCAGTAAAATGTTCTTTCCCATAGTTATGGCTGCAGTTTTTTTTCCTAAACAATTGCTGGCTTCCAAAAAAAAAAAAAAGGATTTTTTTTCTGAGATTAAACGAAAACTGGACATCTCCCTCAGAAAATGGACAATGGACATTTCCCTCAGAAAATCAAAAGCTAGATATAAATAAAAACATGAACCATTTCTTTAAATCACAGCTTTTGGCATTCATTATCTGTTCAATAGAAAAGCAAAGGAAATAATCAGGAGGTCTTATCTGGGCTGCCAGAAAGCTATCCAAGATGCATTAAGAATGGAAAAGCACTGGTATTCATTTAATGAATATCCAGATTTTTTCCTAGTTCTGTTGTGGCAGCCCAAGCCTTACAAGTGTTAGATGTGGCCAGTCATCTTTGACAAGAATATTTCAGTTCTGTGTCTGTGGAGATTCTCAATCATTCAGGTCATGATTGTCTCAAAGGTGCTTTCTCAGAAGGCAACTGGAGTTTCTTGGTTAGATGAGAAGCGAAACATTTTAAGGAAAAAAACTAAGAAAGTCCAGTTGCCTTTTGAAAAAGCACTTTGGGGGTTTCAGTTCTGTATTAATAGAATCACAGAATTGGGAAGAACGTAGAGGTGATGTCATAGTGACATCAAACTCTGAAATTCCCTTTCTTTGAAACTACTATTGATTAGTTGATTGACTTTTAGCCAAAGCATGCATTTATGGTCACGAAGAGTCGACACCAATTTAATCACACATAGTGCTAAAGATCTAGGGCAGTATAAAAATAGCTTCAAAAATGAATTCTGAAAATGTCAAGTAATTCAAATGAAGTCTGAAAATGAACAGTTATTTCAAAATGTTAATGGTACGTATTCAGGGAAAATGGGAAGGGAAAGGTCATGCTGGGAAGTTGTAATTGTAAAAATTATGGTATTGTATTTTGTTGGTTTCACCCAATTTAATAGTAATTTTTACAACATTCAAATAAAAACAAAATTAAGAATTTCTGTCTTGCTTTCAAATATTTTTAACCCGGTAAATTCTAGAATGTTAATAAGAAAACGGTCTGTTTTTCCTTTAATTTAAATTTTTACATATTTTAGTGTGCAAATTTCTTTAAAATTCAGTATTTTTCCCGTTTTCGTCCAAAAAGATAAAATATTTAAAACATATGGATGTTTATTTGTGTAGCTGTTCTGCTATGCCATTCTTTTAGGAAATATTCCAACTTGTTTACAAGGCAAATATTTAATGTCTAACCCTATTGCCTTTTTAAAGGTCCTTGAAAAAGTTCTACCAACTTTATAAACTTGGAAAAAATGATAGTCACATTCAATAAAGTCACAATCTTTTATATATGCTATATAAGCATAACTTGGATAGAAATTTTGTATATTATATAGTGTTGCTTTATAGCTTTGATATGGGTAATATAAAACAGGAACATGATTAGTCACAGAAATATAAGACATTACCTTATATTAAGTAAGATTATATTCATATTTCATTTTTCTACCCTTTGAACTTGAATCGTGAAATTTGTAGTTCATTGTGGAATAAATGACATTGACATCACAATATATTTGTTTGTTGGTTCTTATCGTCTTCAAAACTGCAAATTAATGAATTGTCTTACACCCTTTTAACAGAGACAGAAACAGTTCTGCAGCTATAAATTTAAATACACAAACATAATTAACTTTCTTTTTCAGAAATAACTGACAATGACAGCAAGCCATGTACTAGCCATCAGACACTCAACGGGACCACAAGATGGGCTCAGTCACTGGAAAGTTTGCTGGAAGATCGAGAAGGTGTAAAGAAATTTATGGTTGGTATCTTAGGAATTATTTATTGCACAAACCTAAATACAACTCCTAACCAATTACAGCTGTTTTGTCATCATTTCACGAATCAACAATATGCAAGCCATTTATTTTGTGAGTCTTGAGTGTATTTAGTGGCACTGAGGTCTAGGGAAAGATGTGTGAAGTTCATTTTCATAATAGTTGAGGTGTTAGATAAATTTACAAGCTTATATAAACAGAGTGAAGCCTTTGCCTGAAAGCCATTACTAAGCCTCTACCCTAATTAAGAGCCGAGGTGGCGCAGTGGTTAAATGCAGCACTGCAGGCTACTTCAGCTGACTGTAGTTCTGCAGTTCGGCTGTTCAAATCTCATCGGCTCAGGGTTGACTCAGCTTTCCATCCTTCCGAGGTGGGTGAAATGAGAACCTGGATTGTTGTTGGGGGCAATATGCTGACTCTGTAAACCGCTTAGAGAGGGCTGAAAGCCCTATGAAGCGGTATATAAGTCTAAGTCTAATTGCTATTGCTATAATTCTAATACTCTTCTCAAGATTGCTTGAAAATGACTACAAAAAGTTGTACTGCAAAGTTATACTATGAAGCATAATATCATATAAAGAGCCGAGATGACACAGTGGTTAGGGTGCAGTACTGCAGGCTATTTCAGCTGACTGTTATCTGCAGTTAAGCGGTTCAAATCTCACCGGCTCAGGGTTGACTCAGCCTTCCATCCTTCCGAGGAAAATGAGGACCCAGACTGTGGGGGCGATATGCTGACTCTGTAAACCGCTTAGAGAGGGCTAAAAGCCCTATGAAGCGGTATATAAGTCTAACTGCTATTGCTATTGCTATATAAGCTTTTAGGACCCAGGTACAGAACTCTTTGGGGCAACATCAGCCCCTGACCTTTGAATTACAATGACGGTTGCACTCCAAAGAAAAGTGGAGGAAGAAGGGGAGCGTGCTGCCACTTCCTTGTTTTAAATCTTGTCATTTTATGGACAGAAGACATGTACAGGAAGTCCTTGACATACAGCCATTCATTTAGTGACTGTTCAAAGTTGCAATGTCACTGAAAAAAATGGATCGTTTTTCACATGATCATTACAGCATCCCTGTGGTCATGTGATCTAAATTCAGATCCTTGGCAATTGTTACATATTTATGATGGTTGCAGTGTCCTGGGATCATGTGATCACCTTTTGTAACCTTACAAGCAAAGACTTTAGTTAACAACTAACTTACTAACTTAACTGCAGTGATTCAGTTAACAACTGTACTCTAGCAGGAATGGGTCAACTTAACAACTGTCTCGTTTAGCAGCAGAAATTTTGGACTCAATTGTTATTAGTTGAGAACTACCTCTACTTTTTTTAAAAAAATTGCCTTTCTTTTCTGGAAAGATTTATCCTCTGATGGACTATGGCCCTAACTCTGCTCACTTTTAGGACAGATATTGAGATCTGACTTTTTCCAGAGGCATTAGAGGCCACGTGAATGCTTTCCCCTTTGATTGTTTTAATAAGCGCTTGGTCACCATTTTTCTATTTTGTATATATATACTGTATACATTTTCATTTATTTACATGCAGCACTGCTATTGCTATTGTTGGCTTAATTGTTTTTGTTGTCATATGCCGCCTAGATTTAGTATTAGCAATAGCAATAGCAGTTAGACTTACATACCGCTTCATAGGGCTTTCAGCCCTCTCTAAGCGGTTTACGGAGTCAGCATATCGCCCCCAACAATCCGGGTCCTCATTTTACCCACCTCGAAAGGATGGAAGACTGAGTCAACCCTGAGCCGGTGAGATTTGAACAGCCGAACCGCTGAACTGCAGTCAGCTGAAGTAGCCTGCAGTGCTGCATTTAACCACTGCGCATAGGTTTGGCAAATTGGCAGTCTTATAAACATGGTTTCGAATAAAAATAGAGTTTAAATAAAGGAACATGTTCCAGAACAAAATAAATTGTTAATATGAACATTCTCTCTTGATTCCATTTTTCCCAGTAATGCTATATTAACAATTGCGGTTTGGTAGGTTTGCCAACAGCCTTTGAAGGGGCTCTGAAAATTGTAGCAAGATATTCAGGAAGGCAGCATGTTGCTTCACACATGCACTTCGTTACACCGTTGTTTAAGAGTTTGCAATTGAATTTGCAAGAATATCAGAAAATCCTTTTGTTCTTTATGTAAGGACTTTAAATGAAATTAATAAAGGCTGGCTATTAGTTTATGATACTTTATTTTAATAGCTCCTTTTCCTCCCATCAGGACTTTTTAAAGAGAGAATTTAGTGAAGAAAATGTTTTATTCTGGCAAGCTTGCGAAGAGTTTAAGAAGATACAAGATGAAAAACAGGTATTGACTCCAAAATCAAGCAGAACGCAGATGAGCTTCACTTGATATGAATAACAATGCAGTCTACATCTATTATAGTTACCCAGAACACAAAACTGATTCAGGTGGGAAGTGATCAAGGAATCCCAAAAACTTATTAATGATTGTTGAGATTATGGTGGTTCATCAAGTATTCTTTTTTCTTTGTTACTTATTTACTGGATTACATGTTAAAATGACTTTAAAACTATGTTTTTTCTAGAATTTTCTTACTATGTTTTTCCCTTCTCTTTTGGCCCATGCTGTCTGATTTAAGAAGAGGATAGGTAAACTCAATTTTATCTTACATTTCCCTGGAAAATAAACTGAAATATAAAGTATTGATTTCATATTTTTGACAATTCAGTTTTTACTATATAACCCTATAAAAAAAATAACAGGTGTAAGTTATTTTTTTTAAAAAAAATTAAATCATTACTTTGGAAATGCTGCCTAAAGTAGGGTTTCTCAACTGTAAGATACATGTGGGTTTCAACATGCTCAAAGTTGAACCGCACACATCTTAACATTGCCAAGGTTAAGAAACCTGACCTAGATGAATGACATCTAAATGTCTTGGTACCAGCGAGCAGCAACATGCATGATAAGAGTAGGAATATAAAGAACAGTAATCCGGTTGAAGTATACATTAGTTTTCTAGAAACTAACATGTGATGGCTTGCATAATAAGATGGTCTCATAAAAGATGAACATGCATGATAAGAGTAGGAATATAAAGAACAGTAATCCGGTTCATCAAGTTGTAGATAAAGTGCTGATTTTAGGACTGCACATATCAAGAAGCAAGATGAATGTTAATCTGATTCCATAATTACACCATACCACTACTTCTGTTGCCATTGTTTTTTGTTAACTCTACAAGGGACAATTATGAGTCATGCGGATTTCAATAAGATACAAAATTTGACTTGCTACTTTGGCCCTTATGTTTTTCTTACCATGTAATAATCTTTGTTGAAACAAAAGCTATTTGATGAATCAGCTGCAATCCTTTTTAGTCAAGGAATCAGCTATACACAACAATTAAGACTGTTTCAAATGACTTTTCTGAATGCAAAGATAGATCATAATAAATATGGAACTTGGCTTACAAGATTCATAATAGCAGTGGACTTATATACCGCTTCATAGGCCTTTCAGGCCTCTCTAAGCGGTTTACAGAGTCAGCATATTG